TGGGGGAGTGGGTGGGTGGACAGGCCTGGGCATGGACTTTGGCTCCTCCTTACCGCCCGCTGCCTGGGCACTAAGGAGAGCATATCCCACAGGAGCCAGCCTGGCTGGGCTTTAGCTGCGCCCCACAAGCCCGGGCATGCTCCTCCTGGCCACGGCTGGGGCCAGGGCCGCACATCCACAGGTTGTGAGCACAGCAGCCAGGGACACAAACGCACACTGGCCCTGCCTCCAAGGCCTCCTATCCAGGGCACTTGCTGGGCTGCACCGGGCCCCAGGGGTCTCGGGGGTTGGGCACATTGCTGAGTAACCACCAGGGAATGGAGACACGAGAGGCCTTAGTTTTCTGGGCCTAAATGGGCCATGAGAACAAGGGACTCTCACATGGGAGGGAACACTGTCTCCCTGAGCCTCCCCGATACCTCAGCAGCCAGATGGCTTTTCTCCCCACAGGCTCACCCTTGGTACCACACAGAGCCAGACATGGTCCAGTTACTTTGTCTTTACTACTTTACATTTTCAGCAGACAAATCAAGGTGCAAACACGGTTTATTTCACATTAATATATTAACTGGAATTTTTTGTCAAATAAATAGGGAATTCTCTTTAAATAACCATCTCCTCACTTCACGGCCAGTCTAGGAGCAAACGGGAGCAAATTTGAGTGCATCAGGGGGCACGTTGCCAACCAGGCATGAAGCTTAAGGGGAAGAGGGCAGGCTGACAGCTGCAGAGCGGTCGTGGTCAGCACGCGCCCAGGCAGGTCCCGGGGTCAGGGGCCTCTCGTTCCAGCCCCCAGCAGCCCTCTCATGGCATGCTGGGACGGACATGCAATCTCCAGTTCCAAAAGCCCCTTCTAGATGGAAAGAGAGAAGGCAAAGGGAAACAAACTCCAGAAACACCCGCATGGAAGCAGAGGGCTTCCTCCCTGAGCCTCAGGCCTGGCCCTGATGCTACCCACCCCTGAAAGCTCATGTTAAAGCCCCCAATGTCACACACTGGTGGCAAAAGAATGACCAAGGGCAGGACAGGACAGGCAGGTGTGACTGGGGCTGGATGCGGGTGGAATGTGGACTGACAGTCCGGCGGACGTGGCCTCCATGGCAGGCACAGACCGGAGCACGGAATGTGAGCAGGGCTGACAGGGCCCTTGGGTGGACCGGAGGCTGGATAAAGTAGCTACCAAAACAAGGGAGCTAGACTGCAGCAGAGGAGGTGGCCAGAGAGTCCCTCTGTGGGTAGAAGCTACTAGAGCAAGACAGGAACTCGGGGAACACCCTGCACTCCCAAGGAGAGCCCCAGAGATGCAGCGAGGGAAGTGCGCTGGGCTCGGGGACAGTGTGGGACGCTGGAGGCGCAGCTCCCAGTCAAGGGGCCCCACCCTTCCATCAATGCCAGTTCCTGGTAAGTGTTTTATGATCAGATCTGGAAGAAGAATACAGACCCCCATCACCCCCACCCCAGATCCGGCTCCCCAGGGAGGGGAAGGAAAGAGCGATGAGGTGCAGGAGGCGGGGCGAGGGGTCTACTGGGTCTTCTTATCTTCTGGCGGGTAGTAGGGAGGTGGCGGAGGCTGGTTCTGAAGAAGGAAGAAAGGAAAGATCCTATTAGGTTCAAAACAAGCCAAGGTCTCTGCCCCCAAATCCCAGCCAACTGTGGCCGCCCTGCTCCCATCCCTGCTGCCCACCGTGGGCATGTAGACGGTGTGTGGGTTGTCCGGGTTGTAATAGGCGCTGGCAGCTGCTTCTGCGGCCTTGGCTTCAGCTGTGAAAGCAAAGACACCAGGGATAAGCCTCCCCTCCTTTTCCAGCCCATGACCCGGCCCCCCACTGCTCAGGGTAGCTGGTTCGAGGACTCAGTTCTATCAGCGAAACAGCATTAACGCCCCAGCCCCCCAGCAGCCCTCACGTGGCCGTCCAGTCCTCCTTCATCTTCACAACCCCACCAGGTGCTGCTGTCAGCATGGGCTTGCAGTGGAGAAGGCTGAGGAACAGAGACCTGCCTGGCCCCGGGCATATGACTACCTAAGAGCGGAGTGCTGAAATCTGGCTCTTCCTCCTGAGCCTACCACACTGCCAGGCCCCTGGGGTAGTCCCTAGGCCACGGGTCATTAACCATCTGGGGCTCCCAGTCAGACTCCAGCCATTCTCTGAGGCTCTCTGTGCAGCCATGGGGATGCGAGCAGTCCAGGGCCTCACCTGCAGGAGTGGAGGGGACATCGGGGCCGCTGACTGGTGGTTCCATGGGCCCAGGGTACGGCGGTGGTGGGGGCTGCACGTATCCCATGGCCCCATCCATCATGGGAGGTCCTGGATAGAACTCTGCTCGGGAAGAGAGGGACAGGGACCCAATGAGCAGCCCAGCCCTCTCCAGCTCCTTGATTAGTCCTGAAGCAGGTCACAGAGCAAGTCTCCCCTCTACACCACCCTGGCCTGGGTGAGGCTGATTAGTGGGTAGGGTGAAGAATGGGCAGCAAAGGACACACTCACCAGGTGGGGGCGGTGGATAGGGGTAGCCAGGAGGGCAAGGGTACATTCCATTGGCGACTGGCGGGGGAAAGACATAGGGCCCGGTGGGCAGGTAGGAGTACCCATAGGCTCCAGTGGGGGCTTCGCCTCGGGAGGCTATAAGTACAAGGGAGAGAGAAGTGAGTGTCTCGGGCCCGGGGCTGGGGAGAGGGTGGTCCCACCTCTGCGAGGGGAGCCGCAGAGTCCCAGGATGTGCACAGCAGACATGCCTTATCCCACTCCATTCCTCTCCCACCCACACTTGAGTTGGTCAGAACAAGGCGAGGGGTCAAGATGGGGAGAGAGGTCAGAGCTGGGGTAGAGGGATGGATGGGTGGAGGGAGGGAGGGAGGCTCAGGGACAGGGCAAAGGGTGAGGCTGGGTGAGGCTGGGGACCAGGTGAGGATGCCTGCTGTACATATCTTGGGGATTTAAAATGGTTGCCTAAGGGTAGCTTAATTGTTGGGTATTTTGTTTTCTGTTAGGCCACAGTAAAATGTCCTGAGTCCAAACAGCTTCATCAGAATGTCCTACACCTGCTCCAGGCAGGGAGAACTCAGCCTGTTGGGTACAGGACAGGGTGATGCTAATTATGGGCTTCCTTCCCCACTCCCAGCCCCGGTTAGCCCGGAGCCCAGAGACTTACCTCTTAACACTTAAAAACAAAACAAAACGTAAACAAACTCAAACGAACAAAAAGACACACACTTCACTATGTCCTTGGCCCCTAAGTTTTAGAGCCCTGATACCTTGAGATGCCACCTGTAGCATCCGCTGTCCAAACTCGATGGCGCCCCCTGCCGTAAAGGTCAGCTTGTAGGAGGCGGAGCCTTCCCAGCCACCTGAGAAGAGTGAAGCAACAGCTCAGGAAAAGGACACCGAGCACTCCGAAGAGACGGCCATTTGTCCTCTCCAGGCCCCGTTCAGTGGGGAGGCCTGCGGGGAAGGGCTGGCCCTGCAGCGCCTCAGTGTGATCAGGCCGAGCCGAGCCGGCCGTCTGCCTCCACGTCCGTCTCCGCGTCAGCTGCTGGCTGCCTGCCTCCCTCCAGCGCCTGCTTTGCAACCGGGGGCTTTTCCGTCTTGGAACAAGCTTGTCCTCCCACTGAGCACCATAAGTACATCTGCCCTAGGGCCTCCCACCCCAAATAAAGCAACTTCCCAAGAGTAGGTACAGTCAGCAGCCACTGACGTTCAGAGCAGGGCCTCCTGAGCATCACAGGGGCAGCTCCTCCTGGCCCCAGGGAGAGGTCCTTCCACACCCAAAACCTGAACACACTCCTCAGGTCACAACAAGCATTTTTACTTAGCCTGCAGTCACTTTGCTGATTTCACTCTCTGCAAAAGTGATGTGAGCTGCCCCCTTTAATGCCAGCGTTTCCCAGTTCCCGTCAGCCAGAGCCTACCTCTGCTGAACAGCTGGCAGCCCAGGGGCTGGTTCTGGCAGCTAATTCAGAGCCAGGAAGAGGGCAAACTGGGTGACAAGGGACCAAAGAGGACACCGCCAAGGCAGCAGAGGCACTGAGAGCGCCTGGGGAGGTCCTGTCATGTCCCTAAGCCCCCATCACTCACCTCCTGCCTCTGCCTTCACTGTTCCCTTGATGTAGTTTGCACCAAACACAGGCTGCTTGATCTCACAGTCCTTCACCAGATAGAACGGCATCATGAAGGACCGCATGGCATCCTTCCCCTTGGACAGAAAGATGACCTGCAGCAAGAGGAGAGAGAACCATCACCAGCCAACCCCCGCCCGCCGGCCGCCACCTCCCACACACAAGGAGTCCCCAGCTGCGCTGGGCGGGCAGCCCGAGCCAGGGTTTTGCAGGAAAAGGGCCTGCAAAGCTCGGGCAGAGGCAGGGGCGAGGCTGGGAAGGATTCCTGAGAAGGGTGCAGGCTGAGCTTCACAGAACTGAGAGCGAAGGAGTGGTGAGGGCGTCAGGGCCCAGGACAAGGGGGCTGCCGTAAGTTTCCCTCAGACTTGCTGCCCAAAAGCAAGAGTCTCACACCCGCACCTGCAGAACCTTGTTTCACCCACAACTTGTGACTAAAAATGCCACTTGAACCCAGCCACACGTGGCTCAGCGGTTGAGCATCGACGTAGGATCCAGGAGATCGCGGTTCGATTCCTGGTCAGGGCACGTGCCTGGGTTGCGGGCTCGCAGCCAATCAATGATGACTCTCTCATCATTGATGTTTCAACTCTCTTTCCCTCTCCCTTTCTCTCTCTGAAATCAATAAAGATATATTAAAAAAAAAAAAAAAAAAA